CCGCTACATAAAGTATCTAGATTTGAATTAATATGATATTAATAATGAAGTTACCTACAAATTGCTAATATAAATAACGAAAATAGTTTATATTGTTTATTCGGTTAAACCCCGTCGTTTATAAATAAAGTTTGGTTTAGCGACGGCTAAGGTTGAGATTAACAGTGGTGATTTTATGACGGAGGTATCTAATCGTCATAAAAATATTATGTGTGGGCAATAAATTTGCTATTAAACATTTCGATGAAGTTAAATTTGACATAGAAGACTAAATTTTGCCGAAGATAACCTTAAAGTTCAAATTGTTTACCAGTTATTGATACTGTTTTCAATTTTCACGCATTAAAAGAAATTATGGAATACTTTGGTTCTCCACAACAAATTGCATTAGTTTATTTATCTGGATATAGGTTAATAAAAGCTTTGTATAATTTTACCCAATTATACAAAAATATAAGCTCAGATTTAACAATTCAATTACCCTCAAACTCGATAGAAGGACTAATTATATTTCTGAAGTCAAAACTCAAAAGTATGAGTATCGAACAATTTACATTTTATATTTTTGAAAATAACTTTAAACCTAGTGTATCATAAATAATATGACTATAATAACTGAATAACAGTGCTGTCGAAACCGTTTCACGTTCTTACATAAGGCCCATACTTATAAAATGAATATAAAAACCTATATTAAAACCTTTTATTACGATCATATTTTATTATAATATTAGTAAATTAATGATAATGCCGTTTGTGCATTATTATTATTGTTGATTAACAGTATACATATATCGTATAGGGAATTTAGTTTTAAAATTAGGGAAAAAAATCGATATTTTGGGCGAAGAGTATCGCCCGACGATATGTATACTGTTAACCGACAACAACAACAATAATGTACAAACGGGGGCTGGACTCTCTTCTCCCAAAATGGCGTTTTGTGTCCAAATATTTTAAAACTACTTTCTCTTTTGCCCAAGAATATTATAGCTCTTTTTGATCACATTTTTATAAAGCACAATTTGGGAAGCCATTTAGCATTACCCAGAGAGTACCACGAGGAGGTGGCTTTTATAATTCTCCAACAAGGTATTGTGTATTTTGTGCATTTAATGAATTAAATGTACATTAAAATAATTCTTAAAACATTTAAAAGGTCGTTAAATTTATAATTGTGTCAATAATAAAAGAAAATGAATTCGTATTAAGAATATTATTAGCTCAAAAAAAAATTAATATAAAATTATAAATCGTCAAAATATAATTATTGAGTTTATAATTTATAATAAGTAAATGCCATTAGTTTAATAAAATTATACCGATGATTGTTTCTGTTTTATATTGTTGTACTTTTTCCTCATTTATTCTTTGTCGATCTATATTTTTTTTTATCTTTGGGACAAGTTTGTAAATGAACACTATTTAATTCAATGTAGACCTCAGTTTGAATTTAATTTATAATATTCAACCAGGCACAGACCATTGTAGACATATACTGGACATAAATAATTTTAAATGTTTCCAAATTGTTTATTTTAAAAATGCAATTGTTGGGCGAAAAGGGAAAGTAGTTTTAAAATATTTGGACGAAAAGCAAAAGGTCGTTTTTGGGCGAACAGGGTCTTGCCAGCCCCATATCGGCACATCCCAAGGGCTCCCGTTGAAAAAGGTTTTACGAACAGGTCAATTCCCTAACGGCTGACAATTTTATCGGTATACCGATGTACCTTATACCATTGGTATACTGTATACGGTTGTATAATTTAAATTTAACCAAAAGTATTGGACACATTAATAATATCAAAAGTACCGAAACATTAAACATATTATGTATACCGAAATTAATTATACATATATATTATACGTACTCGTACAAAAAAAACAGGAACTCATTGAAAACATAATTCAAGAATTTTCTTCGAATTTAATAACAAACATACATTTTATAAGAAAATTATGCGTCAAAAATTTACCTAACGTATGATTTTTTGCATATATCTTACAGGAGCCATTTGGAAATTTACTTGATCTTAAAACCTTTTCCGACGGGAGCCGTTAGGGAATAATTTACCTTTTTGTAAAACAGGAGCTGTTTGGGGAAAACGGGAGCCGAATGGGCTACGGCCATACATATACATATGGTGTGTTGCAATTTGATAAATGCCAATGCTTGACGTCTTGTTGTCGTCTTGTTATAATTGCAACTAAAAATAGCATTACTGGGAAAATTATTTTGTAAATTATTTTCGGTGCCATACTGGCTATGGTTTATTGAACACGGTTTAAATTTATCAGTAATGATAATTTGATTGAAATTTTTAAAGGTACGTATAAATGAAGACCAATAAGGCCATGTCCCTGATTCAAAGTATAACACACCACTGGGAACCTATTATAATATTAAATTGTAATTTAAAAAAAAAAATGCAATATGCCACGTTTATTTAATTCAATTTGAATTCTATCAATATGTATTAATTTAATTTAAATGAAAGTTTTATCAACTACTACATTCATTGGTATTTGGTACTATCTATCTGATGTAAGAGAACAAATAAATTTCATTATTCAAAATGACTAGGTTTGTAGTTTTCCTGGCATTTTAACTGCTTGTTGAATAATATTTCTTACATTTCCAATAACTGCAGCCTCAACTGAGAGGTCATGGCTGAAATACATTAAAAATTACTAAAGAAACTCCACGTCTCAAAAAAGATACTTTGTAATATTGCTGTTCTCAATATAGAAAGAAGCAGAACTAATGAACTATAGATACATAAAAAATTATCGACAGTTTTCTTAAATTAAGAAAATTAACGTGTCAAATCGTATAATTTCTGAAAACTTGCAAATATTCACTGATCTGGTATTTTAATTCTCCTTAACAACAATTGAAATGTTATTGTCAACGTGGAGCATTTAAAAATAAATAACACAATTCAACAAGCATTCGAGTCAATTAAATTAAATCAGCAATATTTTCACCTATCCTGTCCTGTCTTCGTTATCTGTTAGTATTGTAAGAAAAGTAACTGAGATGAAAGAAATCTGAAGTATTGAATTAATTACAGTTATAATATTAAATTACAAAAATAGTATTGAATTTGATGTTTGTACTGAATGTTAACATAAAAATAATGGACTATGTTTGCCATCAATTTTGTAGGCACGTATCCCAAAATTAATTTTTTTTTATTGAGTGTGTCATAGGATTACCGACTTAAATGTATAAAAAGATAGCTAAAAGAAAAAATTGTAAAGCTTTTGTAAATTAAATTAATACAAATTATTTCAGTTAAAATGATTAATGCATTTACTATACTTTAGAGGATCATAATTAATAAACTACTAATTGGTGAATCAAAATAGATGATTTAACCTTACAAATTTTCAGAAAATAAAGCCTTACTTACATCCGTGAAAAAGAACGATAAGTTAATGTTATTACTATATATTAGATATTATATTATTGAAATCAATAATATAATCATAACATTGTACACGAAAAACGATTATGAGCGGAGACGGGATGTCAGTCTAGGATATTTTATATTGTTATTACTAATTATTAATATGGTAGCCGAAAAGTTGAATTCATATTTTTCTTAAATTATCAGTGATGCTAAAAAAATATTAAATATAGGTGTGTAAAATTGGGCTGTTTCGGAATCGAATTACAACAAAATAATAAACGTTATTCTTTGTATTAGTACTCGATTTTGTAAAAATTCAAACTTAAAATGTCTGTACAAAATAAAAGTACCTATTCATATATTTTTTAGATTTCTTAGTCGTGGATAAAAAACTGCTTAAGTGAAACCTTATTCTAAATTTTCAATCCTTACCTATAAAAATTGAAAATTTTATACATTTTTAACTACAAAATTATTTTCAATTTTCAATTTGATAAATATTGTCAAAATGTGAACTTAGAATCTAGGTTAGTATCTAGTCTATGTCATTTTAATATTTTTCAACTGCTATTGTAATAAGTTACTAAGTGTCTTTTATTAAATTTATTCATTATTTTTGACCAAACCAATAAAATTTCATTTACATTTATACAAAAAAAAATGTAAAAAAAATGACATAAGATGCATCCGGTATAGGTTTTATGACATGAAAATATTTTAGATATATTATATATACTGTATGTACATATTATATGCTTGTATATTATCAATTTATACTATTAGTAATTAGTAAACGGTAGGTATAGGTATAGGTTGAATTATTAACACAGCATTTATTTAAGTTTGAACTGTTATAATAGTATAATATATTTATAGTTATAATGAAATCCATGTATGTAATAGTTTAATAAAATATAACATTATGTTATACAATTCAATTCAATTAACATTTTTCTTAAAACTATTAAACAATATATTTAAATATTGGTGATTTCAAACATATTGTTCAGAAAGTCTACGTACTTATTATTTTCAATTTGTATCTTACAGAAGTCATTAAACCAATCATTAGTCTGTTGATTAGCTACTGCAAAATAAATTAGTATTAGATTTTTTGAGTCTGTGAGATTGTATTCAACATAAGATGATTTAATTTTAATTATTTATGCAAAGATAATATTGGAATTTTCTTCAATTATAAAATAAAAAATACTTTTTAAAACTTCTGTATTTGCGGATGCAGAAAATTATTATCAATATATATATTTAAAAAACAATAAATAATGAAAAAAAAAATGCAATTGAAATCGAAAATTAATACCCATTAGATAACCTAATCTTGTTATATGGGAAAATAATATCAAGGATTCGAAAATATTCTTTTCAAGTGTGTTTAATAATTTCAAAAATCAGAAATTTGATATTTTCATATTTTAACTATAAAATAAATGTGAACAGACTTAAAAATCACTCTGTAAAGAACACAGTTACTGTATAGGTAATATTGTTTATCAGTTTTTACACACACTATATGATATAAACTTACGTTTCAGAACAAATTGTTTGTATGCTCGTGCAACATCTGTAAAAAAAAACCTATTTTGTGACCGTCTCCTATTATTTTCGGTATAACTATATCGTATGATTAAATAAGTTTACTCTGTTGGTTAAAATGTTAAATATTTAATAAATTCAGGGAATTGATCATCAGATAAACAATTTTGATTGAATCTCAACAGTTATTTTAATTAAATAAATATGGTTTATCTACTACTTAAAATGTTGCTGTAAGAACATAGTAAACTATTTTAATAATCACGTATCAATATAATTGTAGGAATTGTAAAAAAAAAATTTTAACTATAATATTATTGCGTTTCTATATTTTAACAACAAACTAAACATTGATATTTTTTTTGAACATTGCATGGTAATTTGTATAAATAATTAAATTAATAAAAGTAGAAAATTTCTCATGGCTATAATCAATCGCGCCTGTGTATCATTAATATTATATATACTTCTACTAAAACAATTTACGATTAGCCTCGTATTAAATTGTCAAGGTTTTTACTTCAATTTTTACCAAGTAAAAAAGTTTTTATGGACAAAAATTTAAAAACAATTTATAAATTGTAATAACTCAAAAAGAGTCAAAATATTTCTTGATAAATGCTTATGCAAATATTTGGGGAATATTTCAAGTATCTACGATCTTAAGTTTTTGATTAAAACAAAAAAAATTGATTTTGTCCAAAACTCATATGCATAAAAATTCCCATTATTCCGATGCCTTCAAAACTAATGAAGATTTTTAATTTTAACCTACCGAATGCACCAATTAGATTCACTTCTCTATCAGAAAATATGCTGACATCGAATCTGTAAATTTAACTATCTACCCAAATGTAGTTGACAGACAGAAAAGAAACACATTCATAATAAAAACAATACATTCATTGTTTCTCTCGGAATCTAATATCAGCTAGTAACGATGATGATGTACTGTCAAAACATATTGTAATAAATCAGTCCTACTTAATCAATGTTTACTAAACCTCTAACAATCACTTTCAAATAAAAGAATGACACCTGAATGAATTGAATGAAACTTAAGCCGAACCAATGAAACAGTGTTCAAATCAACGCCTTTCCACCTAGCAATATAATTCAAAATTGGAGAGTGCGTGTAAGGCTCGAATGTAAAAATCTGGACAATCAAAATCTGGGAGGTGCAAATCTGGTATTTAATGATTATAAATCTATACAATTTTAATCGTTTCAAATTCGGACGGTAAAATTCGGGACAGTTCAAATCTGGAATATACAATTTTGAAGTCCACAAAAATCAGGACGGTGACCAACTTTTGATGGTATTGCAGCATAGCAACTCGAGGGATATTTTCGTATTTTTTTTTCCGAACGCAGGACAACCAGCAAGTTGCCAGGTGGGCATCACTGTTCAGATTTATTAATTCCATAAAAGTACAGGTTTTATGTTCCAGAATTGCAGTGTCCAGATTAGAAACGTCTTGGTATTTACATTCCAGATTTGTACGTAGACCCCAAAATTGTAGAAAACAAACATTATTGCATGTATACTGAATTCTTTATACGGATCAAAATATTACATAGTTTGATTAGTTGCTAGTTTAAAAAAAATGTATAAACATAATAAATATATACGGGGATGAGGTGACCGAGTGGTCTGACGCGTCCGCTGCGACGCAGCCGGTCGCTGTTCGATCCTCGGCTACCGGACGGCATTTTTCTCCGGACAAGTCGCGGTGACCGGAGAACAAGTGCTGCCATCCCCCACCCCCGGGGCATGGCAGAAACCTACGGGTGCCCCATTCGAAATTCTGCCAAAAACAAACACACACGTGTTCCCCCCTACCGTCCCAAAATATACAATACAAACAAACCTACAATACAAATCCTACTACAGCTAATGGCCTCAGTTGCCGAAGCTTAAGAAAAAAAAAAAAATAAATAAATAAATATATACGTACTGGTCCCTACTCTAACTAAACAAAAAAATTACAATAACATTTATAATTAATGTGATATTATATTTGGACCTCAAATGAAATGAATACTACTCCTAATTATATAATATTTACAGACCGTAAAATATAGGATGCAGAAAAATATAAAAATACGAACGCTGTTGAAATGTTAAGTTAAATAGTGCGAAAGTTTGAAATTGACTGAAATATATGATGACTTATTGATGATCATTTTGAAGTTCATTGATTTTTATTGTTTAAGAACCAGAGTCAAAATTTTAAAGACGGTGTACGTATATAGTTTTATCTAGATAAAATTTGTCAACATAGCTGAATGGTACTAAGTGAATAAGGATAAATTTGATAATCATCGTCATTACATGAGGTATGAGACACTTATCACATAAATTTAATTAATAAAATATACGTCATGCAATATGTACGTACGTCTTAACTCTAGAAATAAAATCAAAACATAATATTATTATAACATATGTTTCATAATCTAAGAACGGTTGAGAATAAATAATTATTGTCCTTTTACAAAATGTTTCATTAAAAAGAATTTTACAACTATCTACTGGTGTAAGTCTTCTGTAAGCTTTTCTGTGTATGTTGATATACGTTTTAATTTAATATGAGTTTATTTATAAGTTATTCCAGTAATTAAAACAATAAACAATTACATATTATGTAGTAATTAATATTGCTATTCCACTATCAGTCATGATAAATTAGATAATACACAATGATGTCCATTTATACTTATAAGTAGGGCTGTGAATTTGTAGGAAAGTGTATTATTTTTTTTTTTTGTGATTGTGAAACGTTGCTTTGTAAGTACATGATTTGAAGTATGTACAAATCTATGTATGCAACTTTTATTTTGAATTTTTTTGAATTTGTTGACATTTTTAATTGTCTATGTCATTTTTGTGCCTTTTTAGGTCTTATTTTCTTTTTTTAGTTCATTTTCCAGTATTTTTAACCAAATTCCGTCAATTGCCGGAAGAAAATGTGAGAAAAAAATTGTTCTTGTACACAGGCTGTATATACGTCGATAAAATAAGGCAATATTGCTAGATGACTACATGAGTTATTTATTTCTAACATTATTTTTGTTTTTTTTTTTTATTAAATTGTCACTTTTTATGCATGATTACTCGTTAGTAATCCCCTGTACCTAATGTTAATATAAATATAAAAATGAAATTAAAAACCATTTTAAAAGAATTTTATACCATAATTTTTGGCATTTTATATTGCATTTTTTACATTTTAAGTGCATATTTTATTGCTTTTTTTTGAAATTTTAAATGCATTTTTTAAGGTTCTTAAGTGCATTAAATTCACAGCGATACTTATAAGGTATTCGCACCTGACTTGGGAGTATGTCGTTGTTTTTGGCAAAAATAATAAGAATCTATTACATAGTTATAATACAGTTAAAAAATATTTTATAATTATACATGTATAAATATCTTTGGTGATGCAGTCTGATGACCGTTTCGTTTAGATTTTTCTTTCATAAGTACCTAACACTTATATTTAACATATATTTATGTAATTATAATTTATCATGATTGCATTCAGAGGAATTTAAAACACAAATAAATTAGTTGTGCACGCAACATGTATAATATGATAATCAACACCACGAACACTTCAATACAGCGTTGGACTCGTGTCCACACTGCATGAGACTTCAGACTAAAAATGTACAATATCATATAATTACGTACCTTGTGTGCCTGGAATAAAAAAAAAAAATTGTAGTTTTTAATTATAAAATATTCATAATTTTGTTCAACTATGAAATCAATTACAATTTACAAACACATAATTTAGACCAATACTACAATTTAATAATTAGTGGCTCAAAGTTTTTTTTAGGAAAAATGAAAATGAAAAATTCAATGTCAATACTTAAAAAATATGCACACCAACATAAATTATATTCAATATAATGGTAGTATAAACATTGGATTCTTAAAATATAAATAGTACCTATATACACATGGAAGATTCATTTAACATTATAGTATAATACAATACAGAAAATACTTACTTACGACGACTAAGAGAAAAAAAAATGGTAGTTGTTAGTTGGTAGTTATGATATGATTAAAAACAATTTTATGATTTGTTTGAAAAATCCTCAAAAAAATACGAGTCTCTATTATTCTTAGATTTTTTTACAAACGGAGAGTTTGTCAATGATGTTTTTTCTGAACAACTTTTGAACAAGAAATAATCTATAGCTTTTTTAATTCAATATCGTTCCTGGTAGTAACATTATTTGTTAACATTTTGGACCATTATCACAGAAACAATGGTTTAAATCACAGTTATACAACCGTCACTTATAATGCAATATTAAGTGGGAACGTTATATTTATAAATATCTTTAATTAAGATGTAAGTTGTTCGTGTAAAAATTGAAAAGGTACCATAGAATTACATATTGTAGTCTGTAGTAATTTATTATTGACTGATGAAGTGATACCAAATAACCAACAATAAATATATTCTAAAAAATAGTGTTACTTTCGAAAATTACATGGGTTTCAATTTTTTTTTTTATTATATGATTGAATAAAAATTTGAGATCACGTTTCTCATAAATAGGAATTCATTCCCGCTGTCTTTCCTTTATTTTAAAATAGTGTAATTGTGTAAATTTACCAAGAATTTTTCAAACAAAAATACATTATCATGTAAACAATTTAGAGTTAAACTCTTTATTGCCAATGGCCATAGTTGCCGAGGCTTAATTCAAAAAAAAAAAAAAAATTCATTATAAAATGAAAATAATAAATCAGAAAATGCATCTTACGCTCCACTGGAAAATAATTATGAAAATATTAAATATATTATTTGTCAAAAAAAGTAAAGGAAGAAAAAAGTACACTGTAAAATATATACTCTATTGTTATAGTTGGCTTATTTTAAATTGCATTATCGAGAATCAATTATCATGATGATAATAATAAACTGATAAGACATCAATAATGTCTAACAATATAGAAAAATATATTATATATTTGTTTCAGGAATACTGGCCCACGAAGGTACTTTGCCCAGTGGACGTTTTGCCTCTATAACACATGCCAACCAAAGCGTGGCAAATTAAAATTAATAGTTAAAGGCTACATAATATGGCTCTCTACCAGTCAATGTTAAGAACCATTGTATTTTAGAAATAGTCACCAGATAAGCTTCCGCCGAGCGCCACTATTCCTGAAACGACTTTTTCAGTGCTACAATAATTTTAAGTCATCCGAGTATAAAGCAAATAATGAGCTTGGAATGTTAGTATTCTATTTAAAAGTATTAAGTTCTTCAGGATACTAATTGAAAACATCAACTATCATATTAATTTGTAAACTAGGATTTCTATTGACTGTCAAATTTCTAGTTTATTTTACAACATAGAAAGAACATTTTGTTTGTTACAGTGTTTCACTCCAAAATATTTCTTTTTTAAGTATTTATTAAATAACAAACTTGAATCGAATGATTCTGCCAGTTTTCATATGTTGGTTACTTGGTAATGGGAAAGACAGTTTCGCAGAAATAAAATTATGAAACTCCTAATATAGTCGAACAACATAATATTTACTTACTGTCATCCTCTAGAAAAATAAATTATTATAATTTAATTATTATAGTAACTTATTAATTTTGATTAACTTTAATATTTGAATTGTATATGTTACAGCTAAAGTTTTGGATTCCGTTATCTTATAAAATAACTAGGGAGTTTATGAATTACCTACGAATGTTAGTTAAAGTAAGAAATAATACATGAAAATTGTACTTTAACTAGTTATTTCATAGAATATCTAGTAAGTTATTCTATACAATTTCAGTTTGATATCCGTTAAAGTATAAAATACATTAAAATTTAAAATATACATTCAAATATTTTATTTTACTGAATTAATTATAGTTATATTATTTATTTATTTGTTCATGTAAGGCTATTATGGCATTTAGAGTTGCACAATACATCTTTTTTTCCATGAACACATCGCTTTGTGCCGCATTTTTTGGTACAGGTGCACTTAAAAAAACCCTGACCAGTTCCCAGTGACTGTGCAGTTGCCGCAGATCTTAATGTAATACTTTTATTTGGAACAGCTTCTATAGCTAACAAATTTTCTGAACATACTGTGAACTAGAATCGAGAGTACAGTTGTAATAACACTCTTGTAATTATAAAGTGTAGGCACTAGGCAGGTATCAAATAAATAAAAAGTAAAAAATAAGAGGACGTCAATCTTATCTGATGTATTATGTTATATTAAATGTTAGAACTATATTTATTTATCATGATATTTTGTTATTTACAATTTGACATATTAACGAAGTGATACCAGGTATATATAAAATAACTAGTTAAAGTATAAATTATATACATTACCTACAAGCTTTAGTTGTTTAATAAATTACCTAGTTATTTCATAAACTAACTGATTCAACACTTTAACTGTAACATATATAGTGGATTCATTTGAAATGTACAGTTTTTTAGATCGAACAGATAAATGTATAAATATGTTGTCACTATGTCAGTTGCCGCAATGACATGAAGTCGAACAATGTAGTATTTACTACAGTGTTTCACTCCAAAATATTTATTTTTAAGTATTTATTAAATAACAAACTTGAATCGAATGATTCTGCCAGTTTTCATATGTTGGTTTCTTGGGAATGGGAAAGACATTTTCGCAGAAAAAAAATTATGAAACTTCTAATATAGTCGACCAACAGAATATTTACTTACCGTCCTCATCTAGAAAAATAAATTATTATAATTTAATTACTATAGTAACTTGTTATTTTTGATTTAGCTTTAATATTTTTATTGTAAATAGTGGATTCATTTACAGTTTCTGAGATCAAACAGATATATTTATAAATTTGTGATCGCATATGCCGTGAACTACTTTTAAGTTTCTCAGTAATTAATAAAAAGAGTGCGTGTTACGAGTAATTCCGTGTGGATGATGTAACACTCCTCTATAGAAGTGAGGACAAAAATAAAAGAGTATCACCCATCTCAGTTGGCACCTGGCTTAAATTTCACACAAATTTAATAATATTATATTTATTTGATTACTAATTTTGTCAAACAACATAATATATTTTTACTCACCTTCATGTTCTAGGAAAATAAGTTATTATAATGTTATGTTAGTAAAACAATTTATAAAATATAATTACTTGGGACTCATTATAAATTATCATGATTTAAAAATATTCAGTAGGAATTTTTTTTTTTATAATAAGTGAATTATTATTTTCGATTGAACTATAAGCATATTTCTATGTAATGGATACATTTACATTTTCTGAGATCAAATTGATAAATGTTTTAATATGTTGTCGCAAATGATAGGAACAACATTTTCAGTATTCACTATTCAGCGATAAGTAAAAAAAAATTGATAAT